ATTTCCTTCACCTGCTCCCCCCACCGACCAAACTGTGCAGCTCTGCAACTGCATCCTGGCCCATCCTCACCCTTCTGCCCCCCACCCTCACCTCCTTGTATCCCCAATATGTTTTTCCCAATTAAAAAAAAAATTAAAAACACAGTACCCATTTGAAACCAACATTTCCACTCCTGGGGATATACCCAAGAGTTGAAAGCAGAGCCTCAAATAATACTTACACATCAATATTCACTGCAATCCTATTCACAACAGCCATCATTAATTGATGTGGTACATATATACAACAGTATTATTCAGCCTATAGAGTCTTGACTATATTGAATAAAATACAATAATCACAAAAAGACAAATACTGTATTACCTCACTTATACAAAAAACCAAGATAAGGTAAATGTATATAGACCAAAGTTTATTTGTGCTTGCCAAGGGCAGGAGGGAAGAGAAAAAGGTGGGTGTTAACAGTGCTGGAAATACTGTGTTTAGGGTTGCATAACTTTATTAATTGCTGCCAGTAAGGTGTAGAGGTGTAAAAACTTGAGTTAGCAAAAGTTGTTTGATACATATTTATAACAACAAATTAACTGCTGAGATTATTTACAGACAACAAATTATTTCACTGGCTTTAATGGTTTGAGGTTTAGGGTCATAGTTTCACAGGGATTCCAGTTAATTGACTTGGTAACACATGTCCATTGTTTCTATTCTGTAACTGAGCTCTATCCATAGTACCTGGGGTCTTAAAAGCTTGCCAGGCCTAACTTGTTGTATATACCCTATATACCCCAACAGAGGAAGAAAGGAAGTAAAGAATAGCTGGAGAATATGGAATAGCTAATTGCTTTTATATAAACAACTGCCACCTCCTGACTGCATTCCTAGCAGCAGGTAGCTTCTAAGACAATCAACTGTTACAGGACTCCTTCAGGGCCTTTTGACACATATTCATCTCTTGTTCCTTACCTACTCTAACTGTTGCTTCTCTCTTCCCACCTTTCTTTATCTTCAACCTCTGTGAGGCTGACAATACATATAAACAATCACTTGGTTAACTTTGATGCATGACTCTCCCACAAGGGCCACAAACTGACTAATGCCTTTTCTTAGCAGAATATTGACCAAATCCTGCAATGTGAGTAAAACAGGCTGGGCAGGCTGCTAGACAGAAAATATCAGGTTTTTGTTACTTACAGCTTGTTGTTAAGTGCCCTCAAATCTCATAATGACTCTCTGAATGAAAGAACTGAACACCTGGATAAATTTACTTTCTCTAAATTCATGCAGTTTCCAGAGATAAGCTATTTTGGAAGTGGATGCCACTCCTGCTTCCAAGCCTGTTTTAATCTGGGAGCTCCACCAAACACTGTCTACCGCGCATAATATACAGTTTGCCCTGAAAAATATCAATGAACTTGAACAAAAGAATCAAACCCTCCAAGGTAGAAAACCAAAGCAGAGTTTAACACTTCAGGGCTTAAAGAAAAAAATTCTCAAGCTGTTTTCCCAAAGAACTAAAATAAAAGACGACATGAAAGAACTCATTTCACCACATAAATGAAAACCAAATAAACAACAGTAGGGGAAGACTCTCTATGAGGTGGATTGATTCAGTGACTGGGGAAATCGGGATGGGTGTGTCAGAGGCAGTGCGACTGGCACAGGATAGAGCAGGGTTTAGGGCTGTTGTACATAGGGTCGCTATGAGTCGCAAACGACTCGATGGCATATAACAACAACAACAACAACCAAAAAAAACGCCAATACAAAATGAAACAAGTGTCCATCTACTGACAAGTGCTGAAAAATTATGGTACATGCAGAATAAGATCGATCATGCAACTGATAAAATTTTAAGTACTAAAAATATCACCATTAGTTCTCCAATAGAGAAATAGTCTCTCATATTCTGATAATATGGGTATAAACAGACACAATGTCTAAGACACTAGAAATCACTGGAAATTCTCAATTTCCATGCTGACTGATACAGCAATCTGTGTTTTACAAACATTAAGGGCATGACAATCTAGACATGCAAACATGTTCCTACATAGGCAGCCTTTCTTGTACCTAGTCCTCCCCAGCACCATCACATTTCTAAAGCTTCTCTCTATCCAGTCCTCACCAGACAAATTACACCTCTATTCAAAAATTCCTCCTCAGTCCCAACACTTCACCCTACTGCAAAGTGAAGAAACAGTTCTGCAGAGCTTCCAGCAGCAGGAACAATGGAAGTTAGCTAGAATGCAAACCCTGGAATCTCTGTACAAGTACCATCTGAACTTGCAGAGAAACTCAAATCGCAGTCCTTAGAGGTGAGAGGTCGAATCCTGGGGCTCACCCAGTAACTACAGTTTACCCAGCACCAGCAGTGGTCCCAAGTCCTACAAAGAGTCGGAGAGACAAAGGCGGCATCAGATACGCGGTACGAGTTCTATACCAACTCTCGCTCTGGCAAAAGAGACCGATCATTTTCGACAAAGCGTACCAGGGCAGGCGCTGGAGGAAGAGCTTTTGAAGCATTAGGTAAAGAGAACGTAGTTAATCCGTGCATGTTAAAAACTGACACTCAACTAATCGGAAGTGACGTGCCAGCTGAGACCTGCAGTCCGTCATGAAATTGGCCGCCACCTCCACCAGCACGGTCTCCTGGGCTGACTTGAAGAAAGGAAACTGTGGCTGGACTAAATCAACCAGATCCAGTCCCACCTCGAGCAGCTTCGAATTCCTCCGAGGACCTGCGAGGTCGAAAGAGAGCCGCGGCTGCAACCCGAGCAGAACAGCTTCGCCCGGCTCGGGCGCCCGGCGGGTGTCCTGCGGGCAGAGCTTCGGCACTCAGCAACGCGCATGCGCGGCCCTTTTCCTAGCGAGACTTCCCCGAGTCACCTGGACGATAGCTTATCAGTAGCTTGCCCTTCTGTGTTCTTTTTTTCACCCTAGCCAACTCCTCTTGATCCTCACCTCCGGACCTGTCTTCTTCTGCAGGCCCCTCATAGGGGCGCACGCGACCAGCCGCCGGCAACCCACTCGCCCTCGACCACAACCAGCCTACACACGCGCCGCGCGGCTTCCGCTTCCGGCGAGTATTGTGTGTCGTGCTGCGGGGCGGAGGCGGGGGGAGGAGGAAGGAGGGAGGCAGCGCTCCGACGGCTCTGCGCTTCGCAGTCCCGGACTCAAAGCCGGGAAGGTAGGTTCTGCCCCGCCGCCGCGCCCGCGCCCTGTAGCCTGCCCCGGTCAGCCGGCTCCGCCAGCCTTGTCCCAGCGACCTGCGACTGCGTCACCGACCCCCCGCACGTAACTACCGCTGCCTCCGCCCGCCTTGGGCCCGGGCGGACGTTTTGCCGCCCCGGCGACGTCAGCGCGTCCGGCGTTGCTTGGCTACCCCGCGGTTCCCCTGTCCCGCTACCGCTCGCTTACCGGGGTGAAACTGACACTGCATCAGAGTGGCAGGCATCTCGCCTTAACGTCACACCTCCTCACCTGCACGCGCGTCCCTCCAGCCAGGACGTTCCCTCACCTCACTCCAATCCCTTGCGCCAAATCTGGGGGACGATGATGGAGACGGGGGTGGGACAGAATTGTGGACAGCATTCAGGAGAGGGTCAGCAGGTGGGACCCTGGACAGTGGTAGAAACTGAGTGAGGACGTCGCTGAAGTTTGTCCTTCTACTGAAATACGAGGACTAGCGGGAGAGAAAGGACTAATCCGCAGGCAAGCTAGGCCTCCTATGAGTTAAGGTTCCTCTCCTTACTTTCCAGACCCTTTCCCCATCATTCACACCAATTCTCCGGCTTCTCTGTCAGTCTAGATCTTTTCTGGCCCCTAATTCAACTCACTTTAGGTGAGGAGGCCACCGGATTTCTAAGATTGGGGATGTAGGGGCAAGGTCACCAAAATGTTATTCCCGAAAGTGCAGAACAATCATCTGACTGAACTTCTAATACCGGGAAGGAAGGATGTGAAAGTTCAGCTAAGTTTTGGTACGAATTAAGATACAGTCATTTGTATCTTCAAGATATATTATTGTTAATATTATTATCAAGCTAGCTCAGTCATTACATGCCCACTTCTCTCTCAGCATATAGACCTACTAGTTGTCTTTTCTTCTGCTGGACACCTTACGGGATGATGAGTGGGTGAAGTGGATGTGGAGAAGGAGAAACAGATTTACTTACAAACGTGTTGTCTTGGTTTCGGGTTATTTTGGTTTTTTTACAAATAATTTTAGTTATTTGCTTTTCAATAAGTTTAAATCCTCAAAGGATACAGCATTACACAGATACTGTGTCTAGGGGCCTTACCAGGAAGTAGACTTCGAAATTTGGCCAAACCACTTTTTCCCTGGGCACACGTTACCTTTTCCCAGATTGCTCTGGTTTTGTTAAGTTTACCACCAGGAGTCACAGTATTATTTTTTTGCTTTGTAGACATAAGCACATCTCTTGCCTAAATAGAATTTCGTCTCATCTCAAGCATTAACACCTTCCTTTTTTTTTTTTTTTTTTTTTCTTTTAAACCTAAGAGCTATGTGCTCACTCTGGTTCTGGAGACCTCATTTATAGCCAGCAAAGTGGCTTTGCACCACAGCCTTCCAGCCATCTTTGTGGTTTAGAAGTCCTGTCCTGTTCCCAGGAGTTCTTCACAGGCTCCGAATAGTAGGAAAAGTGTTGTCATTTGGTTTGTTTTGGGTTTGTAGTTTTTTTAAAAATATTATTATTTTTTGTGTGTGTACTGTCAAATCAGATTTGACTGGTACAGGAAGAGATTGCCCCTCCTTCTCCAATACAGCATCTGGTGGATTCGAACTGTCTACCTCTGGGAAGTATTGTCATTTTAAATATGGAGTATGGAACCTGCCTTCTGCTTGGATCTCTTGTTGCTGCATTTCCAAGTCTTTTGAGGAATTGTTTGTGTACAGTTTTAATTGCCTCTTTACTTAATTTCTCTTCATCCCCAGCCACTCCAGAAACTACTGATTGGAGGCCTCTATAGTGTGGGAATTAAATGTGAATAGCTATCTCAGAAGAGTCTAATAATTGTTGAATATTTAGAGTAGGCTTATCAACTCTCTTTCCAAAAAGTTACTGATTTGATCTCAGTAACATTGGTTGGACCTCAGTTGGTGTGAGTTAACGTCTTACTGCTAAGCTCCCTAAAGATTGAGCTTTATTATCATTTTGGCATATATGGTATTTTGTACTTTCCCAAACTCTGTTCTCAGAAAATTATTTCAAGCATTTGTGTGGAACGATCTGATTCTAAGAAACAGACTCTGGTAGCCTACTGGTAAGGAGTTGCACTGTCAATCTAAAGGCACACAGTTTGAATCTACTAGCTTCTCCTCATGAGAAAGAGTGGCAGTCTCCTTCTGTGCAGTTTACTGCTTCTGAAATTCCACTAGAAGGTCAGCTGTGGTTCATTTCTGACTTGACATACATAATAACTTCAGTATAAAAGTGGAATGAAGCTGGATTAGGATTACATTGGGACAGGGCAGGAAGAAAATTGTTTTTGAGAAAAGAGAAAGAGGTAAGACAAGAAAGATTTAAAGCTTGTATGTTTTAGTTTGCTGAGTTGTTATTGTTAGGTGCTATCAAGTTAAGTATGACTCTTAACGACCTATTATGCAACTGATCTATACTCTGTCCTATCCTCTGCCATCCCCACAATCTCTGACACACTTGAGCCATTGTTGCAGTCACTGTGTCAGTCCATCTGATTGAAGGTCTTCCTCTCTTTTGGTCATGTTGCTAAGAGAGGCTGTTCCATAGAGAGGGCCATCATGCTTGGACTGGTGGGAGGTCAGCCAAAGAGAGGAAGTTTCCTAAGAGGAAACCAAAATTAGGTTGGTGGTGGAGTGTCACGTTTGGAAATGGAGGAGAAAAGAGGGTTGAATCTAAAAGAGGAAGGAAGACAATACCAAGATCAGGCTAATCCTGGAGTTAAAGTTTAATAAGAGGATAAATATTAGAACAGAGATGCAAAAAGATTTTACATCCCCAGCTAATACTCTACTCTCTTCTCTACCTCTCATCCTCTGCCTAAGTTAAATGATGGCAGAGACAGGCCTGTTAGAGGCTGGGGCCTCTGCAGCCTCCACAGCTGCAGCTCTGGAGAACTTACAAGTGGAAGCAAGCTGCTCTGTGTGCCTCGAGTACCTGAAGGAGCCCGTCATCATTGAGTGTGGGCACAACTTCTGCAAAGCTTGCATCACTCGCTGGTGGGAGGACTTGGAGAGGGACTTTCCTTGTCCTGTGTGTCGAAAGACGTCTTGCTATCGTAGTCTCCGGCCTAATCGGCAGTTAGGCAGCATGGTGGAAATTGCTAAGCAGCTCCAGGCTGTCAAGAGGAAGCTTCGGGATGAGAGCCTCTGCCCTCAGCACCATGAGGCCCTCAACCTCTTCTGTTATGAGGACCAGGAACCTGTATGTTTGATATGTGCAATTTCCCACACTCACCGAGTCCACACTGTTGTGCCACTGGATGATGCCACACAGGAGTACAAGGTGAGAAACCAGATGCATGGTACCAAGATGGGATGGAGGATGGAGCAGCAGGAGACTCCTTGGGTAGAGGCTTATAAATTCCTCGAGGACAGTGTGCATCTGATCCTCACTTTCTAATCTGCTCTGAACTACACACACATAGTACTCTTGATCCTTATTCTCAGAACAAATTAAAAGAGTGGTGCTGACTATCTAAAATTTATCTCTTGACTTTTGTAACATTTGAGTCTTATGTGTGATCTTAGAACATGTCATGGTTTTCTTGAATGAAGAACCACATGAAGAGTATCTACTTAGAAAGAATTGAAAAATGGTTTTCTCATTCTGTCCTTTTTCCAGTGGTACTGGGACTAGGTAATATTACTTACGTAGAATTACAGTCAACAGTCCAAGCTGAACTAGTCTGTTTATATCTTTAGTCTGTTTACATCTTTCCTAAATAAATAGTGCAGCATTAGATTTAACTTGTCTGTGGGCCAAGGTTGATATTTGAGTAATGGGAGCAAAGATTTTAATGTCATAGCTTGTTGCAGTTACTCTGCTTAATTATGTTGGAAACAAGGGATGAGATAATTTAATGTATTAGGGATTGAGATTTTATTCTTTTTGTAGGCAGATAAGTTAGAAGGGCAGTTTTGAAGAAAGATACCAGAGTACAGGTCGATTTGATGAATTGAGTAACAAGAAAATGGACTGGATTGGGCAAGGTCAGAGAACTGGTGCCTCCTGGAGAGCTTATAAGAATCTTACAAAAGAAAGGAATTAACAGCAAAAATTAGTTTGAAAGACTGGTGACAGGAGAAGAAACCAGTAAGAAATTGGTACCCCACAAGAGAGGCAAGAAAGCAAGTTGGATGAAGAGTTGAACTGAGCAAACAAATAGGTTGACATTTAAATGAAACTTATTCCAGCCCATTTGTTACCTTTTCCACTGCCTCCCCACCCCTCAGGAGAAGCTGCAGAAGTGCCTGGACCCCCTGGAGCAGAAGCTGCAGGATATCACCCGTTGCAAGTCATCTGAGGAAAAAAAGCCTGCAGAGCTCAAGGTACAGGCAAGCTGTTTCTTCTGTGTTGCTCTGCAAGTGCTCAGCCAGGAATTAACCAAAAATTAGATAATCCATCAGTTTTTAATAAGGTTTGATTATCGTTAAACTGCATACTTTAAAAACTTGTCATGAATTAACTGTTGAGGGGAAGGATTTAAGAAATAAAAGAATATCTTGCCATCTTGTCAGATGACAAGTTCAGAGAATTCATGTTCTTTTTCTTTGTTAAGTAGAGAGGGAATCTCTTTGTTGAGAGTGCAGAGATAGGAGTTTCTTAGAGGGATTGAAGAGAAGAGCTTTTAGAAGGTTCATTAGTCCGTTCCCTGTGAGTCTGCCATAGTGTTCCATGCCAGAGCAAACTGTAGCCCTGAACCATTGTTTGGCCTCCTTGCTCATAGGCTGCAGGCACTGAAGTGGGTTGCACGGTAGAAAAAGAAACATCAAAACTGTATGGATTATAACAGTCCAAATCCATAACTAGTCCTGCGGTTGAACTGGGCAGTGTTTCATTCTGTTGTGCATGGGCAACTATGAGTTAGGGACCAGCTCAAGGCCAGCAAATAATAGTTAACAGATAAGAGAACCATTAAAGGAAATTAGAGGGAAAGAAGGCCTTTTAAGCTTCTTAGGTTGCGGTGCAAACTGTGTTTCCTTCTAGCTGCCAGTTTGAGGGCAGATTGTATGATAAAGTGACACCATGCAATGGAAGGGGAGATTTTTCACAATGAGAGCAGTTAAAAAATGAAAATCAGAAAAACTGAAGGGAAAAAACCCCACACTGATACTAAATTTCTCAGCGATGGAAGAAAAAAATAAAACAGAAAACGCTGAAATTTAGAAGAAATAAAATAGAAAATTATAAAGAAACAAAACATTAGTTATTAAGATATAATTATTTCTGAAGGAAGATAATAAAATACAAAATATTGAAAGTATTCTTCCAACTGTATAATAAGAAGTTCAGAAGTAGAACCAAAAAGTAATGTTTATATACAAGTCCTCTTTTTCCCCCCAATTGTGATAAAAGTTAGACTCTTTAAAAAAAAAAAAAGAAAAGAAAGAGAAGGTTTACTAGCGAGGAACGGAGAAAATGCTAATCAAAAGGTACCGGATGCACCAACAATACTAAGACCACATTTTCTTGATTCATACAAGCTCAAGTGCTGTAGCGCATTGGCATATTCCTAGAATGTTCCTTCTCTTCTTTTCCTGCACCTATCGCTTCTAATCTACTCTTCAGCTTTCTGGGTGAAAGCCTTTCTTGGCTCAAAAATTAACTTTCTTGATTTTTATACTATTTTGTCTCCTCTTTTTCATAACATCATATTCACGTTTGTAGCATGGTATTAAAATAAAACCCGAACTCAAATTCATTCTCATGGAGTTGGAACCAGCTTGTAGCTGACCCTTTAATGAATTTCAAGGCAGTAAATCATGCGAGTAGAGATAGCTCATCTTTCTCCTGCAAAGTCTCTGTTGGATTGGAACCACTAGAAAGGCACAGGCTTTGAGTTAGCAGCACAACTGCCTACGTACTGTGCCACCAGAGCTCCCTGTAACAACAATGTTGTTGTTTTTGCTAAGTGCCATCAAGGCAAGTACAACCCATAGCAACCCTCGAAACAACAAATCTGTACCCTGTCCTATCCTGCTGCACCATCCTCACCTTTTCTGACACACTTGAGCTCATTGCTGCCATTTATCTCATTGAATGTCTTATCTTCTTTCACTAACCCTCCACCTTTCTGAGCATAATGTCCCTCCCCAAGTAATAGCCTCTCCTAACAACGTGCCTAAAGTATCCTCCCCTAACATCATGCCTAAAGTGTGTGAGACATAACTTGACCATCTTTGCCTCTAAGGAGCACTCTGGCAGCACTTTCTCCAAAACATCTGTTGTTCTTTTGGCAGTCTATGGGATATTCACTACTCTTCTCCAGTACCACAGCTCAAAGTCATCATTTATTCTTCTGTCATCTTTAACTCTTAAATGCATAACAGGTGATCAGAAAGACTATGCATATTAGTCTTTAAACTGTCATCGTTGCTTGCTTTTTCAAGACTTTGGAGAGGTCACAGACAGCAGACTTTCCCATTGCAATCTCCTGATTGGTGGTATCAAGGGTGTTGGTGGGGGATCCAAGTAATATTAAATTGTTGACAATTTCAGTCCTTTCTCCATTTGTCATGATGTTGCCTGTTGGCCCAGTGGTGAGGATTTTTCTCTTGATGTTGAGATGTAATCAATATTGAGGGCTATAGTCCTTGATCTTCTGTAGCAAGGGCCTCAAATCCTTCTTGCTTTCAGCAAGCTAGGTTGTCTCATCTGCATAACAGGTTCTTGGTGAGAATTGTTATGTGCTGTCAAGTCAGAACCAACCCATAGTTGACCCTTCAGCAGGTTTTCAGAGGCAATAAATTGCACAGGTGCAGAGCACTGGTGGCCTAGTGGCAAGAAACTGTGTTGCAATCCCAAAGGCATGCAGTTCAAATCCACCAGCTGCTCTGCAGAAGGATAAGCAGTTTCCTTCTGTGCAATTAACTGCCTCTGAAAACCTGCTGGAGGGACAGCTATGGGTCAGTTCTAACTCGACAGCACATAACAACAACATATCACACAGAAGGGAATTGATTGCCCATGCTCCATCTCATGGTTTCAAACTGCATGCCTTTGGGATTGCAGCACAGTTTCTTACCACTGTGCCACCAGCAAATAGTAGCTAATATTAGTGATTCCATTACTTCATGGGATGCCCATGACATCCTGAATTTTGTACTAGGTCTTAGGGTTCTGCTAATATTAGAATTCTGCCAGTTCAAACCAGACTTGGACAATTGGGATATGAAAAATTTTAAGACAAAGAAGTCATAGAGCTTGTTTTTGACAAGTATCTAATCATATCTAATCCTGAATCACACAGCCATAAGGTGTAAAACTATGGATACTAGTTCTTTGTGAATTGTTGTTGTTGTGTGCTGTCAAGTCGTTTGTAACTCATAGCGACCTTTTATACAACAGTTCTGAACACTGCTCTATCCTGTGCCAACTTTATTGTCCCTAAAACACCTACCCGCATTACCTTGTTACTAAATCAATCTCTCTTATCGAGGGTCTTCCTCTCTTGGGCTGTCCCCTCACCCTCCCAAGCATTTGTCACTCCTTGCAACATGCCCAAAGTATGTCAGATGAAGATTCAGAATCATTGCCTCCAAGGATGAACCTGTTTATTCTCCTAGCAGTCCATGGTATATTCAATACTCTTTTCTAGCACCACAACTCAAAGGCATCAATTATCCTTCTGTTACCCCTAGTCATTGTCCAGCTTTTTGACATTATCAGAAAGATAATGAAGTAGTATCAAAAAATTACAGTTGAAGGGAGCTCTGGTGGCTTAGTAGTAAGACGTTACGCTGCTATCCCAAATGCATGCAGTTCAGATCCACCAGATGCTCTGGGCATTCTCTCCTTCTGTGGCAGTCGGATCTGACTCAAGGGCACACAGTAAGAAAAAATATTTAAAACAAAATTACAGTTGCAAATTTACAAGTACATTGAGTATTGAGATTTGATCTAAATAAAGCTTTCCAAAGAACTAATGGGGATTTATGTTGGTTTAGGGATTATCACAGTGGTTAAAGTATTTCGTTAATGGTTTGTCTCCACCAGCTGCTGTGCACCAGATAGTTGAAGCAGTCTGCATCCTTAAAGATTTATATCCTTAAAAGTCCTCAGAGTTCTTTCCCACAAGGTCACTAAGAGTTAGAATTGACTCAGTGTCAGTAGGGGTTTTTTTGTTTGTTTGTTTAGAA